AAAAAATCATAAATTACTATTGTATTAAAGATTATTCTCAATTATTGCAATCTAATTAAATATAATTGAAGTCTTTTTTTATAGAAAAAGATCAAATCGTGCGACAAATAAAAAAAAAAAAAGTAGATACTACGTTTATATGTAGAATAATAACCATATATATAAAGTTATGTTATCGAACGCTTTTAAAATCGATTCGAGAATTATCATCCATTCTGAACTAACAGAATTAAAACGTAAAACGTAGAAGAGAGAGAGAGAGAGAGAGAGAGAGAGAGAGAGTGAGAGAGACAGCATAAAATCGAAAGTATTATCGTACATATATTTTTTTCTAAGTTCGCGTAATTCAATCGATTTTTTTTTCTTCGTAATGTTCACCTTGCCATATTACGGGTGTTACAAATTTAAAAAAAAACAAAGAGTGCTGCACTCTGTCATTTTTACCAACACGAATTAATAGTTATACAAGATTAGAAATGTATTCTACATGAATGATACTACGTAGGTTGAAACTTAAATAGTGGCAACTATTTATACAAAAGAGTTACATGTTTGCTCCTGTTTCTGTCCTTTAAAGTAGTCACCAGCATTGTGTAGAACCCGTTAGCAGAGCCTGTTCTGTTGATGGTGCGAAAGGAGCGGTCTACTGCCTGTCGAATCTCTGGAACAGTTCCGAAGCGAATGTCACGATAGGTTCCGCATGAATTGACGGAAATGCAGAAATGGATGCATTACAAAGCTGCTCAGACGCATTTGGAGTGCTATGAGCACGAATGAGAGGTTTTCTTACGCCGTATCGTAACACTGAATGAGACATGGTAGGGACCCTATAGGAGGGACGCGCCATGTACATTGCTAGGCTGAAAATGTAGGGGGACAGCTTCCGTTGCATCGCGCAGCCATGTTTATCTTTAATTTGTATTAACGGCTGTGGTTAGTTGAATCATTCGCGCGCAATCACGTGACTACACGAGTTCCTGTCCCCCAGCAATGTATATGGCGCGTCCCACTTATAGGGTCCCTAAGACATGGCAGTAGACCGCTCCATTCGCACCATCAACAGAACAGGCTCTGCTAACGGGTTCTACACAACGCTGGTGACTACTTTGAAGGACAGTTACAGGTGCAAACATGTAACTCTTTTGTATCGGTTGTGAATAAATAGTTGACATTATTTAAGTTCCAATCTACGTATATATTAAAAAGATTTGAATTTTTCTGACGACATACGTGAATAAAGGTTTTAGAACCAGAAGAGATGCATAAATATGGTTTATCAACGCCACACACTTCGCACTGTTCCCCAACAGGTGAAATAATTATTTCTACGATGGGTAAGCCTAACGGTGACGGACAAGGTGATTTTCTTTGTATCGATAGCGAAACATTARAAGTTAAAGGCTCCTGGATTAAAGGTGAAAAGAAAGCAGCATWTGGATACGATTTCTGGTATCAACCTTATCACGATATACTAATAGCCTCTGAATGGGGAACCCCAAAGTTTTTTAAGAAAGGATATTTTGCTGATCACATCAGAACAGGCTCTACTGACGGTATACTACGCCTTCCACATGGCTGGCAATGGGTTCTACACAACGCTGGTGACTACTTTGAGGGACAGTAACAGGTGCAAACATGTAACTCTTTTGTATAAATAGTTGTCACTATTTAAGTTCCAATCTACGTATTTTCATGATCAATTTCGCGATTAAGAAATTATTATGAATTATTATTCCAAGTATTATTTATTTTTGTCTTTTCAGTATCATATTCAAGAAGATGAAGATGTCGTTGTCTTTCGTTCGAACTATTCGATCAATCTCGAATTTTACGGATTGTCGTATCATTATTTTACAAAAAAGCAAACGTTGCTCAACTATGATTACAAAAGAGCAAGTACAATCTCTCTCTTCGTTTTTCACGCGGATTTATCATTATTATTATTAATTACTATCGCTCATTGTAAGAATAGAAAATATCTAATGATTATATTGCAATTTTATAACGAATAAACTTATCTATTAGAGAGTGGATGAAATATAAATCTCGTTCTTCAATACATTGACAGTTCGAAACAAAGATCGTACTTATATGCACGATTTGTTTTACTTAATTGAAATCATTTTAAAATGTTTATTTGCTTTTCTTTTTTTTATTGGAAAGAAATACAAACCGTGCTCTTAATACATTGACAGTTAAAAACAAAGATCGTACTTACATACGGTCTTCTTGTCTCACTTAATTAAATCACTTAAAATTTTCTTTCACTTTTTCTATTTATTTTTTTTTTTTATTTAAAGGACTATCTCAGTGTAAAATTTTTAACAAATTGATTTTTTTTTTGGTCTCATCTTGAAGTACATATTATTGTGCGTGTTCTGTAAAATTTTCAAATTTCAATTCGAATTATTATTACGGTCGCTACAACCTTTTTTGGAAAAAGAGATTGGAGCATAAGTTGACGTGCGCTAAACTTTAAACGCGTTTTTCTCAAAATGCCCTTTTTATAAACGGTGTCACCTCTCACAGGGAGAGTTTTCAAGCTATCGACTTGAAATTTTTACGGAACTTTTTTTTACTTTATTCTTTATGTCCCTATGGAAACTTTTATTTTGTGTTTTTAATTCTTCCTATTTTTTCACACGAAAAACTGTTGAAAAACAGGGGCTAAATTTCGTACTTTTTCTTCAAACCGTCGCCATTTTGTTAAATTTCAAAAAAAAACCTCTATAGGGACATAGCGGCTTCCCTATAGATTAATAATCAATTTGATTTTTTTCTTTGAGATGCAAACTACGATCACAATCGTTGACACCGATTGCCCCCATTTTTGTTACTCACTTTTTAAAATTAATTATTGATAATAAGTAAAAATAAATAAAAACGAATGAAATAAATATTTTTGTATTGTTAAAGAGTGGTCTTATTCGGGAAAAAAATCATCCCGATCCCCTCCTCCTATCCCCCTGAAAAAAAATTACGAAAATTGACAATTTTTTGGCCGGTTACACTGAGATGGTCCCTTAAAGAGTAGAATATGCCAAATTATCCAACTAAGGATATAACATGGGACATTTCACGTGAAGCGGACAACGACAAAAATGTGAGGTCGTGGTTATTTCTAAGTGTATAATTCATTAATTACAATAAACTGTAAACTGTAAGTAGCGAGTGAGCCAACAAACAGCCCTGAGGAACCGCTCAGTACAGGGCGCCATACCTTCGTACTGTTTAGTTCATATCTTCTAAACGAATCGAGATACCATTATAATTTTTTCCCCATAATATTTCTACACTACAAGCTATTTTTTAAGGTAAAAATAAAAAAAATAAAAATATACGAAGTTTAACCCTTAAAGTGCACACTTGGTAAAAGTTAGTTAAAGTGCACTGTGGGTGTTTGACACCCCAACGTGTTTGAACGAGTCTCCTGAAGCCGCTATTTAATAATTAGACTTCGCAATTTTTTTCAAAGTACTTTGATACATCTTTTTTCAAATAGAATAGGTTTTATACCCATAGATGGCACTAGACAAATAACCCATTTTTTCGAATTCAGTACCGTTTTCGAGAGATCAAAAATTTGTTGGGGTGTCAAACGCCCCATGTGCACTTTAAGGGTTAATAAATTCACATTTTTAATTTTAACTTCCGGTTTACTAGACGAAAAAAAGAAAGTTCAATTTCAAATTTTTATTTACTTCCAAGAAAATTCATTTATATTCTCTAATAAACACGATTTATTTCTTATATAATCCATCAGATTGACTCTTTTATTAGTATATTCGAAAAATCTATTCCTCATATTTTGTCAATTCTTCGAAGCCCCCATAAATTGGTAACTAAGGTAAAAAAAAAAAATAAAAAAATAATGATGTACAATTATTGAGGTCCCATAGAAGTACAATGAAGCTAATTATGAACAAAATCCACGACCTCACATTTTTTTCGTTGTCCGTTTCACGTAAAATGTCTCCCCCCCCCCCATATATAATATATTTTTTTTTAATGGAAACATTATCAAGTGATTAAATTTAATGAGACTCTCTATACTTGTAATTCGTATTTTAACAAATGCTATTTTAAGTTAATTCAAAATCGAAATACTACTTTCGAGTTTTGAACGATGAATAAATATCTAATTATTTACAATCGCGTTGTTTATTCGTTGTATTTTAAAACATAAGCGTAAAATGAAAGAAATCATATTATTTTTTGTTCGTCAATATTGGGATCTCTAGCACTTGAATACGCTATCTGGTGGCTAAATTCAGAACTAGAGCAGTAAGGAGGAATTGCTGACAACTGATTTAAACTACACGATATTTATGTGGAAATATTGATATTTTTAATTTTATTACTTGCTTATTTATTATTTAAAGTAGAATTGAAAATAACTAGTATCGTTAAACTAACAAGTTGTTGCAAAGAATTTTTGTTTTTTTTTGTTATGGAGCTCCCAGCAACAACAACAAAATACAAGTAAAGTGTATTGCTGTGTATTTGGTTGTACAAGCATAGCTTGTCGTGATGAAAAAATTAAGTTTTCTTTTCAAATTCCACCTCGTAAAAAACAATTTGTTTATCGAATAAACAAATTTGCTGATAAAGAAATAATTGATAGACAACAACAACAACATGTTTACAAATACCACTTAAACCAGCCTTGCATGAACAACACATTCTAATTGTTCGACCATTTTTTAATATTTCACCAGTTATTTCTTCATGTGGATTATCTTTAATATGTGAAGTTTGTAAACAAAAAACTATAAAATACTTATATTATTACAATCACCACTTGGTACTTGTCCACACTTAATCACACGTCCAGCATTTAATACACTTTCACCACAAACAAAATTTTTATTGCTTACTTTTGCGCAAGCACATTTAAATTTAAATCTCTTGCAATGTAAGTTTCATTTTATTTATATTTAATTACAAAAAAAAATTATAATAATAATAATATAAATAATAATGTTATACACGTTGTTCCCTATTTTGATTATACAAGTAATGCACAGCATCATCCAGTCTCTAGTTCATATTTTTGCCGCTAGGGTAAGCCACGCCCCTGCCAGAGATCCCAATATTTAAAACGTAACGAAAATATTTCATCGTTCTTGATAAAATATATAATAAATAAATATTACCTAATTATCTTCCTGCATCATAAACGTCAAATAATACAGAATTATTTATGATTCGTTTGTTAATTTCATCGCTTCAATACAAGTTCAATATTTAATTGATTTTTTTTTTTTCACACGACATCGATATATTTCTAATGAACTGCTCTACAGTGAGTCGATCGATTAATAATAACACGTGAATTAAAATCGTTCACAGCAAAAAAGAATCGCTGGTGTTTTTAACTCGAATAAATAAAAAACAAAAAAAAAAAATTATTGAAATACAATCAATTAGGAAGAAATTCCAAAAAGTTATGACAAAGTTATTATAGCTCATCACTGATGATTTTCAATCAACTTATTTCTGAATTTTTTCTTTTTTTTTTTATTCAAGAGATATTGATGATAGGAAAAACAAAATTTATAGAGTATCCAAAAGAGAATCTAAGAGATCCAACTGATTTTCATCCCAGCCTGCTGTGGCGATTAGGAGACCCGTGAGATCATCTTCGGTGAGATTAACTTGCGTTGATTCGGGTACTTCCGAGAGTGTGTCTGGTATTGGGGATGAAACGCTACTAGGTGGTGTTTCGTAAAGGGCTGAAAGACAGGTAGTAGGAGGTACATAACTATTTTGCAACGAATGATTGCTCGTTGTTAAGGTAGGGGATAATGTCGTCGATGTTAACGTCGTCGTCGTCGTCGTTGTTGTTGTTATCGTTGTTGTCGTTGAATTCGTTGTGTTGTGTTGTTTTCTCGATCCTCGATTGCGTTGAGTCGTCGAGGCCCGTCGTCTCGTTCTTTTACCTTCTTCCATACGTTCCAAGTCAAGTTTCCAAAAGCCACCCTTTCCAGGCTCATCTTTCGAACGTGGCAACTTGACGAAACATTTGTTCAACGATAGATTATGCCGAATCGAGTTCTAAGGATAACAAAAAGGAAATGAAGATTAGCAAATATTCTTCGATCTCGTGGGTGCTAATCCTATTACCTGCCAAGCTCGATCAGCGTATTCGTAGTATAAAAAATTTTTGCGAATCCATTCGTATATGTTTGAGAGAGACACCTTGTTGTTGTTCGCGCGCATCGCGAGACAAATGATCGTGGCGTAGGAGAATGGTGGCTTTGCGTCTGGATCTGCTCGATATTTATCGGCATTATTCGCGAGATCTGATGATAAGAAAAATGGAATAATAATTGTTATTAAATTTAATAAAACAATGCTAGTGATTTCCATAACTAAACGAAGTGTTATCTATAGGCACCGTGCGTGATTGCAGCGCCATGGTAGCGCCATGGTATCTATGGAACTAAAAGATGCTAAGGCTGCTGAGGTTTTTAATATCTAAACGTATAGGGCTTTGCGATAACAATTTATTTTTGTTATTAAAAACATTTTTTTTGTTGCATGTCAAACCACGTGACAATAAAATTTCAATCTTGTGCAATTATGATGCAACAATTACCGCCAAAATGTAAGTATAATTAATAATTTAAAAACAGTATGAAAGCTGTAGCGTTTACTGTAGTAAATAAGAAGTTAAATTATAGCCACAGTAGATCAAACTTGAAATAATATTGGCAAGCAGATAAAGTACGATGTGACATTGTTATAAAAAAAAAAATAAATATATATGTAGGAAAATTTTAAGTGTCGCAGATGTAGACGAAAATCTAGTATTCAGTTCTTTTCTTTATATTTTATTTTCTAAAAAGGAAAACTCTATTATACATTTTTATAAAAATATCATAAAATTAATTGTCACACGTATGTTTTGTGAACACCAAAATAAAAAACACCGTCTTTTATTGTCAAAGTTATCCACTGCGTGCGCTAGTGTCCATTTCGGCTTCCCCTACCATGACTTCGCATGGTGCCTATAGAATATCATCAAAATATTCTACATATACATTAGGGTGGGTCAAAAAAATCAATTATTTTTTTTTTACAAATGACACGGAAAAATGGGTTGCTAGACACCTTAAAAAAATTCTCACCAAATATGAGCTCCTCATTTTAATAGGCAGATCCTCCGCATCGCAGTTTTTTATTTTTGTCTTAGTCCAATAGAATAAAATTCATACCTCATTATTTATTAATTGTACAGAAAAATGTTCTAGACAAATTTTGTAGGAAATTAAGTGCTCTATAAAAATGGTGTCTTATGTTTTGGCGATTAAATTAAGCGTTCAAAAGATATTCATCATCAAACTTTTTTGT